TGATGATGATGATGATGATGATGATGATGGTGTGGTGGTGGTGGTGGTGGTGGTGGTGGTTGTGGTGGTGGTGGCGGTGGTGGTGGTGATGATGATGAGGAGGAGGAGGAGGAGGATGATGAGGAGGAAGAGGAGGAGGAGGAGGAGGAGGAGGAGAAGGAGGAGGAGGATGAGGAGGAAGAGTACGAGGAGGAGGAGGAGGAGGAGGATGAGGAGGAGGAGGAGGAGGCGGACGAGGAGGAGGCGGAGGAGGAGGAGGCGGAGGAGGATTCGCAGGTGGAGGTAGAAGCGGAGGGGGCGGGGGAGGCGGAGGAGGCGGTGGAGGAGGAGGGGCAGGAGGAAGATGAGCAGGAGGAGGAGGCGGGGGAGGAGGAGGAGGAGGAGGAGGCGGAGGCACCTCAGGCCAGTTCTGCAGGGGGTCCTCGCCCTCAACACACGAACTGCAACTGCAAGGTATTCCATGCCGGGCGCAGCGAGTGCAACAATGCGAGTTTTGCGATCGAGTGAAAGGGCATATGTGCGGGCTGCCTCGGGAATGAAGTGCTCGTGGGGCTGGTGCTGCTCTGGCGTGCCGAGGCTGAGGCGAGAGAAGGAGGAGGATGAGGAGGAGTAGGAGGAGGAGGATCACGAGGAGGAGAAGGAGGATTCGCAGGCGGTGGCAGAGGCGGAGGCGGAGGCGGAGTGGGAGGAGGCGGAGGAGGCGGAGGAGGAGGAGGAGGAGCAGGAGGAAGAGGAGGAAGAGGAGGAGGAAAAGGAGCAGGAGCAGGAGGAGGAGGTGGAGGACGAGGTGGAGGACGAGGAAGAGAAGCATGACGAGGAGGATGATGATGATGATGATGATGATGATGATGATGAGGAGGAGAAGGACGAGGAAAGGGAGGAGGATAAAGAGGATGAGGGGGAGGGGGAGGCGGAGGCGGAGGAGGAGGAGGAAGAAGGAAGGAAGGGAGGAGGAGGACGATGATGATGAGGTGGAGGAGGAGGAGGAGAAGGTTGAGGTGGAGGGGGAGGGGGAGGAGGATGAGGAAGCGGATGAGAACGAGAGTGAGAGAGAGAGACAGTTCGAGATAAAGAGAGGTAGAGAGCGAGGGAGAGAGAGAGAGAGAGAGAGAGAGGGAGAGTTATTGAGAGAGAGAGGGAGAGATATAATGATTGAAAGAGAGAGAGAGAGAGAGAGAGAGAGAGAGAGAGAGAGAGCGAAAGACAGACAGAGCGAGAGAGAGAGAGATATGGCACACCGTACACGTCCAAGGTGCATTCGCTAAAGGGTCGACACGACTGTGTACAGTACATTGCCGCAGGCATTGATCAATACATTCGCGTGACATGCCGCTTGAATTACCCCATGCGGCGTGGCAGGAACGAGCACGACACCGATGATAACATAGACGACGAGGGCTAATTGGAGAGAGGGAGAGAGAGAGAGAGAGAGAGGGAGAGAGAGACATACAAAGAGAGAGAGAGAGAGAGAGAGAGCGGATGGTGGCAGCAACACGGTGGGTCTATGCTGCAACCCTGACGGTGGCTAGGCTTGGTCAGTCTCCTACGGCCTGCCGCTAAATTCTCTCACGCGGCGCGGCCGAAACGAGGACGGCAACGACGATGGCAGCATCGACGGGCGAGAAGTGGGGAGAATTGGGGGGGAAGGCTGACGTGACGACGGAGGGAGGAGGGAGAATGCATGGAGACGTGCGGAGGGAATCCTCACCAGCTGCAGCGTCTGGCCATTGAGCGCCATCCTGCCGGTGCTGGAGCACGGTCCCTCAGCGCCTTCAGCTGTTCCGTGCCGTCGGTCGCACTGCGCGCAGACTTGTACGCTTTTGTCTTCCACGTGCTGCGTGGCCTGCCCTCGCGCCAGGCCGTCGGCAGCGCATGGCCAACGGAAACCGGGTGGGCACGCGCACCTGCGTGTTGGTAGTTCGTTCGGCATGAAGGCAATATGACCCAGCATAATCCATTGTCGGTTCACTGGTGCTGAACTGGACGCCTGCACGTCGCAACCTTGCCATACAGTTGCTCTGTTGACCTGGGCGTGTCCAGTAGAAACTGCAAATGCCCGCACGCCACCGCAAGTAACGAGCTTGGACTGAATACATCATGCTGCATTCTGCACGGCTTGGCCAAAGGGCCTTCAGAGTAGCGGATAACAAGTGATGATGTTGATGATGATGTTGATGTTGATAATGTTGATGATTGTGGTGATTTTGGCGATGATGCTGCTGCTGCGGATGATGATCATGATAATGATGCTGATGCTGACGATGGAGAGGACGATAGTGATGATGGTGACGATCATGCTGATGCTGATGCTGCTGATGATGAAGCTGATGATGCTGGTGCTGATGATGATGATGAGGACGATCATGATTTTGATGATGATGCTGATGATGATGCTGCTGATGCTGGTGATCATGACGATGATGACTACGATGACGATATTGTTGATGATGATGATGATGATGATGGTGATGATGCTGCTGCTGATGATGCTGTTGACGACGACCGTGGTGATGATGCTGGCGGTGCCGATGTCGATGCCGATGGCGCTGCTGCTGCTGATGATGCTGCTACTGATGATGGCGATTATGATGATATTGTTGTTGATGATGGCGGTGCTGATGCTGATGATGCTAATGATGATGTCGATGATGTCGATGATGCTGCTGATGATGACGGTGGTGATGATGATGCTGATGACGCTGATGATGCTGGTGCTGATGATGATGCTGATGATGCCGATGACGATGATGTTTAGTAGTATTTTTAATGGTGCTGGTGAAGCTGATGCTACTGATGATTATGCTGGTGGCGATGATGATGCTGCTGATGCTGCTGATGCTGCTGATGATGAGGATGATGCTGAAGATGATGACAATGACGATGATGCTGCTGCTGCTGATGATGATGCCGATGATGCTGATGATGATGATGATGATGCCGATGACGATGATGGCGTTGATTGCGATGATGATGACGATGAGGATGACGATGCTGACGATGATGACGATCATGCTGCTGCTGATGATGATGGCGAGTCAGATGATGCTTACGGTGACGAATCCGATGCTGATGATGATGATGACGATGATGATGATTATGCTTTTGATGCTGCTGGTGATGAGGATGGTGATGCTGTTGATGATGATGCTGATGATCATGATGCTGCTGATGTAGATGATAATGATAAGGCTGATGCTATTGACGATGCTGATGCTGATGATGGTGGTGATGAACGTGATGATGACGATGCGGAATACGGTGATGTCGTTGTTGATGAGGATGATGAGGATGTTGGTGTTGTGAACGATGATGCGGATGATGCTGCTGCTGTCGATGATGCTGCTGCTGATGACGATGGTGGTGACGAGGATGAGGATGAGGCTGATGATGAGGATGAGGATGAGGACGAGGATGGCGATGGCGACGCTGATGATGATGATGCTGATAATGATGCTGATGCTGATGCTGATGATGCTGATGATGATGCTGATGCTGATGCTGATGTTGCTGATGATGAATATGATGATGATTATTATGATCATGATGATGATGATGGTGATGGTGATGATGATGATGATGATGATGATGATGATGATGATGATGATGATGATGATGATGATGATGATGACGAACAGTAGGATGAGGATGAGTAGTAGCAGGAGGTGGAGGAACAAGACGAGGACGAGAAGGACAAGGGAGGCTGAGGATCATGAACGATGATGACGATGTGGAGGAGGAGGAGGAGGGGGAGGAGGAGGAGGAGGAGGAGAAGGAGGACCAGTTCAAACTCAAGACTCATCAACGATGTTGGAATCTGCCCTCCCTCGAAGCTCCCTCTTCATAGGCTCATACAGGGATTCGTGTCCACTGGGGGAAGTGCCCCGTTGAGAGACAAACGTTTGAAGATCGTGAAGCGTGCCAGAAAACCATTCCCATGACTCAACGCCATGACTCAGCATGACTGTTGCGTCTTGATTGTCTTGAATCATCACATAACGCCATTCCTGTGATCTCAACACCGCGCATCAAGGTAACTGTCGCGCCCTGGCAGTCCTGAATCGTTCCAACACACCGTTTCTGGTACGTCAATTCGAGAATCAGTGACGCTTACACAAATTTAAGCGAATGTTTGCGGCGCTGAGGCGAGGGACGCATTTTCAAAAGGAGTCGGCCTCAATCCGTGAAGCTCTTGCAAAGTGTTTAGAATAATGTGCGCGGCGCTAAGGCGAGAGCCACATTTTGGAAAACGTGCCGCCTTCAATTCGTGAAACACATGAATAGTTTTAAGACGAATGTACGCGGCGCTTAGGCGAGAGACATTATGACATCGAGATGCCCTCAACCAGTGAAATCTGGCGAAGCTTCAAAACGAGTGTGCGCGGCGCTAAGGTGAGAGCCACATGGTGAAAACCACCCGCCCTCTTTCCGTGAAGCTCTTGCAAGGTTTTAAAAGACGAATGTGCGCCGCGCTCACGCGAGAGCCACATTTTGAAAACGACCCGCCCTCAATACGTGAAGCTCTGGTAGATATGCAGCAGAGCGATGTGCGCGGCGCTCAGGCGAGATCCAAGTTTTTGAAGCGACCCGCCATTCATCTGTGAAGCTGTTGGCAGTTTCCAGCTTGAGGCTCAAAAAGTGGTAAGGAGGATTGAGGCGAAATGCTCAGCCCACCCTTTCGACTGGCTGGCGTTGGGGTGCGACATGGAAGAGTTTTTCATAAGGAAAAGGAATGGAGGGGGGTAAAGATGATGGAGAGGAGGAGAAGGGGGAAGAGGAGGATCAGGAGGAGGAGGAGGCAGAGGAGGCAGAGGAGGAAGAGGAGGAGGAGGAGGAGGAGGAGGAGGAGGAGGAGGAGGAGGAGGAGGAGGCAGAGGAGGAGGAGGAGGAGGAGGAGGAGGAGGAGGAGGAGGAGGAGGAGGGAGGAGGAGGAGGCAGAGGAGGAAAGGGAGGAGGTGTAGGCGGAGCTCGCCCTGCCTGCCCCAGGACGCGCGGGATGAGGCATGGTCTCCTTCTACGCTGCCCCCCCGGGCAGCTGGCTGTCCGCTGCGGACCTCGGCGCCGGCGCCGTGGAGCAGCGGCCCCTGCCCGGGGATGCCGGCAGCCCGTGCCTCACGCTGTACGGTCCCTCCGTGCGGCGGGCCAGGCGCGCGCTGCCTGCCAATCGCCTGAGATTCAGATTTCTGCTCTTTCTGCCTAAACACTCTCATAAGGTCCGAGCCACTCGGCGGTGACTCCAATGTAAGTACTTTGATCCTGATGCTTGCAGGCCGTGCTTTTCGAATGTGTTCATGTTCAGGCTTCCGCTTCTGCGGCAGACAGCGTGTGGGGCGAGGAGCAGTGTGGGGTCTTGCCTGAAGCGCGGGACCTGGCTCGCTAGGCTGACTTCTCCGACGATCCGATGGCATGCGTCCCACGACCCCGAGCAAAAGGTGGTCAGAGGAGGCGGAGGAGTGGTCCGAGAGAACGGGGGGATGAGGATGTGTTTTGTTTGTTTGTTTGACTTGTTTTTGTTTCGTCTTGCCTGGCCTTCTGGTGAGAGGGCATGGCATCGGATGGTTTGCCCGCTGCTGTTCATGAGATGGTTTTGAGATTGTCGGGAGCACGGTCTTTCGCATTGCACATGATGAGACCTAAACATTCTCATAAGGTCCGAGCCACTCGGCGGTGACTCCAACATAAGTACTTTGATCCTGATGCTTGCAGGCCGTGCTTTTCGAATGCGTTCATGTTCAGGCTTCCGCTCTTGCGGCAGACAGCGTGCGGGGCGAGGGGCAGTGTGGGGTCTTGCCTGAAGCGCGGGACCTGGGTCGCTAGACTGACTTCTCCGACGATCCAATGGCATGCGTCCAACGAACTTGAGCATATGGTGGTAAGAGGAGGCGGAGGAGTGGTAAGTAGGACGGGGGATGAGGATGTGTGTTGTTCACTTGTTTTGTTTGTTTTAGTTTCGTCTTGCCTGGCCTTCCGGTGAGAGGGCATGGCATCGGATGGTTTGCCCGCTGCCTTGGATGAGGTTTTGTTGAGGTTGTCGGGAGCACGGCCTTTCGCATTGCACATGACGAGACCTAAACATTCTCATAAGGTCCGAGTCACTCGGCGGTGACTCCAACATAAGTACTTTGATCCTGATGCTTGCAGGCCGTGCTTTTCGAATGTGGTCGTGTTCTGGCTTCCGCTCTTGTGGCACACGGAGTGTTAGGCGCTGGGCAGCGTGGGGTCTTGCCTGAAGCGCGGGACCTGGCTCGCTAGGCTGACTTCTCCGACGATCCGATGGCATGCGTCCAACGAACTTGAGCATATGGTGGTAAGAGGAGGCGGAGGAGTGGTAAGTAGGACGGGGGATAAGGATGTGTGTTGTTCATTTATTTGGTTTGTTTAGTTTCGTCTTGCCTGGCCTTCTGGTGAGAGGGCATGGCATCAGATGGTTTGCCCGCTGCTGTTCATGAGATGGTTTTGAGAGTGTCGGGAGCACGGCCTTTCGCATTGCAGATCCTGACGTTCTCATAAGGTCCGAGCCACTCGGCGGTGACTCCAATACTTTGATCCTGATGCTTGCAGGCCGTGCTTTTAAATGTGATCATGTTCAGGTTTCCGCTCTTGCGGCAGACAGTGTGTGGGACGAGGGGCAGAGTGGGGTCTTGCCTGAAACGCGGAACCTGGCTCGCTAGACTGACTTCTCCGACGACCCTATGGCATGAGTCCTGCGACACTGAGCATAAGGTGGTAAGAGGAGGCGGAGTTGTTGTAAGAGGTGACGGGGGGATGAGGATATGTCTTGTTTGTTTGTTTAACTTGTTTGTGTTTCGTCTTGCCTGGCCTTCTGGTGAGGGGTCATGGCATCGGATGGTTAGCCCGCTGCTGTGAATGAGATGCTGTTGATATTGTCGGGAGCACGGCCTGTCGCATTTCGCATGCTGAGACCTACACATTATCATAAGGTCTTGGCCACTCGGCGGTGACTCCAATCTAAGTACTTTGATCCAGATTCTTGCAGGCCGTACTTTTCGATGTGGTCGTGTTCAGGCTTCCGCTTTTGTTGCACAGAGTTGGGCGCTGGACAGCGTGGGGGCTTGCCTGAGACGCGGGACCTGGCTCGCTAGGCGGATTTCTCGAACGACCCCGGGCATAAGATGGCAAGCGGAGGTGGAGGAGTGGTACGAGAGGACGGGGTATGAGGATGTTTTTTTTGGTTCAGTTTGTTTTTGTTTCGTCTGCTTGGCTTTTCGGTTAGAGGGTATGACATCGGATGGATCGCCCGCTGCTGTGAATGAGATACTGTTGAGATTGGCGGGACGGCTTTTCGTCGCATTGCATATGCTGAGACCTAAACATTCTCATAAGGTCCGAGCCAGTTGGCGGTGACTCCAACATAAGTACTTTGATCCTGATGCTTGCGGGCCATGCTTTTCGATGTGTTCGTGTTCTGGCTTCCGCTCTTGTCGCACACAGAGTGTTAGGCGCTGGGCAGCGTGGGGTCTTGACTGACGCGCGGGACCTGGCTGGCTAGCCGGATTTCTCCAAACGACCCCGGGCATAAGGTGGTAAGAGGAGGTGGAGGGGTGGCACGAGAGGATGGGGTGATGAGATTGTGTGTGTGATTTGGTTGTTCAGTTTGTTCTGGTGTCGTCTTGCCTGGCCTTCTAGTTAGAGGGCATGGCATCGGATGGTTCGCCCGCTGCTGTGAATGAGATACTGTTGGGGTTGTCGGGGCACGGCTTTCCGTCGCAATGCACATGCTAAGACCTCAACATTCTCATAAGGTCCGAGCCAATCGGCGGTGACTCCAACATAAGTACTTTGATCCTGATGCTTGCAGGCCGTGCTTTTCGATGTGGTCGTGTTCTGGCTTCCGCTCTTGTGGCGCACAGAGTGTTGGGCGCTGGGCAGCGTGGGGTCTTGCCTGAAGCGCGGGACCTGGCTCGCTAGCCGGATTTCTCCACCGACCCGGGGCATAGGGTGGTAAGAGGAGGCGGAGGAGTGGTACGAGAGGACGGGGGATCAGAATGCGTGTGATCTGTTTGTTCAGTTTGTTTTGGTTTCGCCTTGCCTGGCCTTCTGGTTAGAGGGCATGGCATTGGATACTGTTGAGGCTGTCGGGAGCTCGGCTTTTCGTCGCATTGCACATGCTGAGACCTAAACATTCTCATAAGGTCCGAGCCACTCGGCGGTGACTCCAACATAAATACTTTGATCCTGATGCTTGCAGGCCGTGCTTTTCGATGTGGTCTCGTTCTGGCTTCCGCTCTTGTCGCACACAGAGTGTTAGGCGCTGGGCAGCGTGGGGTCTTGCCTGAAGTGTGGGACCTGGCTCGCTAGGCGGATTTCTCCGACGACTCTGAGCATAGGATGGTAAGAGGAGGTGGAGGGGTGGTGCGAAAGGACGGAGGATGAGAATGTGTGTGTGATTTGTTTGCTCGGTTTGTTTTTGGTTTCGTCTCGCCTGGCCATCTGGTCAGGGGGCATGGCATCGGATTGTTCGCCCGCTGCTGTGGATGAGATGCTGTTGATATTGTCGGGAGCACGGCCTTTCGTCGCATTGCACATGCTGATACCTAAACATTCTCATAAGGTCCGAGCCACTCGGCGGTGACTCCAACATAAGTACTTTGATCCTGATGCTTGCAGGCTGTGCTTTTCGATGTGGCCGTGTTCTGGCTTCCGCTTTTGTCGCGCACAGAGTGTTGGGCGCTGGGCAGCGTGGGGTCTTGCCTGAGGCGCGGGACCTGGCTCGCTAGCCGGATTTCTCCAACGAACCCGGGAGTAAGGTGGTAACAGGTGGAGGAGTGGTACGAGAGGACGGGGGATGAACATGTGTGTTTGTGTGTCATCTATTTGTTCAGTTTGGTTTGGTTTCGTTTTGCCTGGCCTTCTGGCTAGTGGGCATGGCATCGGATGGTTCGCCTGCTGCTGTGAATGATATACTGTTGAGGTTGTCGGGAGCACGGCTTTTCGTCGCATTGCACATGCTGAGACCTAAACATTCTCATAAGGTCCGAGCCTCTTGGCGGTGACTCCAACATAAATACTTTGATCCTGATGCTTGCAGGCCGTGCTTTTCGATGTGGTCTTGTTCTGGCTTCCGCTCTTGTGGCGCACAGAGTGTTGGGCGCTGGGCAGCGTGGGGTCTTGCCTGAAGTGTGGGACCTGGCTCGCTAGGCTGATTTCTCCAACGACTTGGGGCATAAGGCGGTAAGAGGAGGTGGAGGGGTGGTACGAGAGGACGGGGGATCAGAATACGTGTGATCTGTTTGTTCAGTTTGTTTTGGTTTCGCCTTGCCTGGCCTTCTGGTTAGTGGGCATGGCATCGGATGGTTCGCCTGCTGCTGTAAATGATACACTGTTGAGGTTGTCGGGAGCACGGCTTTTCGTCGCATTGCACATGCTGAGACCTAAACATTCTCATAAGGTCCGAGCCACTTGGCGGTGACTCCAACATCAGTACTTTGATCCTGATGCTTTCAGGCCGTGCTTTTCGATGTGGTCGTGTTCTGGCTTCCGCTCTTGTGGCACACAGAGTGTTGGGCGCTGGGCAGCGTGGGGTCTTGCCAAGGTTCGCCCGCTGCGGTGAATGAGTTGCAGTTGAGGTTGTCGAGAGCACGGCCTTTCGTACTGCACATGCTGATATCCAAATATTATCATAAGGTCCGAGCCACTCCGCGGTGACTCCAACGTAAGTACTTTGATCCTGATGCTTGCAGGCCATGCGTTTCTAGGTGTTCGTGTTCTGGCTTCCGCTCTTGTGGCAGACAAGGTGTGTCGTGAGAAGTGGTGTGGGGTGGGGCTCTAAGCGCGGGACCCGGCTCATTTAGCTGACTTTCCTGACGACCCCACGGCATGTATCCGACGCCCCCGAGCATGCGGAGGAGCTTGAGGCGGCGGAGTGGCAAGAGAGGACGAGCAGAGGAGGGCTATGTTATATTTGTTTTTGTTGCTTGTTTGTTGCTTGCTTCTTTGTTTGTTTCGTTTTGCCCAGCCTTCTGGCGAGAGGGCATGCCATTGGAAGGTTCGCCCGCTGCGGTGAACGAGGTGCTGTTGATGTTGCCGGGAACACGGCCTTTCGCATTGCACATGATGAGATGATGAGATTCAAAGATTCTCATAAGGTCCGAGCCACCCGGCGGTGCTTCCAACATAAATACTTTG